GGCCAGGAAGGATCCATCAGACCAGTCCTTCGATTCGGGCCAAAGGAACGACGTATTTGTCAGCCGCATCGGAGGAGTCTTCGATTTTGGACAACCCTCATCGCGGCGCTGTGACGTATACGGCCGATGAATTCGGCCTTCGGAGGACCCGACCTGCCATTTTGGACACAGCCATTAACTTCAAATTTCGGGCAGCTGGCACCTTCCTGTCTCGGGTTATGACTAATATTTGTATTTTAAAAATTAGAGACGTGTTTCCTGTGCTTTCTGACTGTTTTGACCAAACCAAATTCTTACACATGCCTTCAGCTGCCCAGTATTCATCCAATCAAATCATCATGGCTTCTTCAAACCCGACCCAAAAATAGTCAATCTAAAAAAAGTATGTCTTTCACAGACTCCTCCCACATCCATTCACATCTTTCACAGACTCCTCCCACATCCATTCACATTTTTCACAGACTCCTTCCACATCCAGTCACATCTTTCAGACTCCTCCCACATCCATTCACATTTTTCACAGACTCCTCCCACACCCAGTCACATCTTTCACAGTCTCCTCCCACTTCTTATTCAGGCTCGTTTGATCTAAATCAAGGTCTGACGTTACTCACTGGTGTAGAAGGTTTTGTTCTGAGAGTTGAGGTCTCTCTCGCACTTCACAGGAAACACACTGATATTATATCCGGTGCCCGCGGTCAGGTTGTAAAGGACGAGGCTGAAGGTCAGGTTTGACTCATTGACCACCCAGGCCTGGTCACCTTTGATCTCTACCCGGTAATACTGGATGTCACCAGGTGCTGCTAACCAGGACAGATTGGCACTGCTGGCGCTAATGTCGGCCACGGCGACCTCGCCCATGAAGCGATCTGAATGTAAAATTTAAAAAAAGTAAATGCAGCTTGAAAAAAATAATATAGGTGACAAAAATAAGTAACCAGTTGCAGTCTAATTTAGTAGCTTTAGTAGCACATTCACCTTCGTAACAAATGAAAGGCAGACGCTCAAAGCAGTGCTTTTCGATCCAAGGCCCGAAGCCGAGCATGGCCACGCAGGAGTCCTCGATGTAGTATTTGTAAGGTTCTGGGATAACRGGCGGCTCCATGGGTCGGGATTCACACGTGGACTCTATCGGCTTCGGTGTCGTGGTCGTCCAGGGGGAATGTGTGGTGTAAACCGTTTGAGGTGTGGCGCTCCCCGAGTTGCTCGTGTTGGTGCTACCTGTAAATCTGGTATCCATACTGGATTGGGTAAAGTTCTCTCCCGGTGGACTTCCTGATCCGGTTGGTGAGGTTGTGGTTTGAATCGGGGTTTCAGTCGTTTTAGGAGGCACTGGGCACGTGCAGGAGCAGCTGCAGCAGTCTATCTTGGGGAGCGGGAATTTAGGCACCGGCCAACCTGGGTACCAGTTCTGGAAAAAGAGGGGATCTCCGTTGACCCAACGGGTCCAGTACAGGGTGGGGATGTCGGTGGAGTTGTCGGTGGTTGAAGGCGGAGCTGATGTGAAGGYGGAGTCAAGGGTGAAGTTAGAGGTTGAACTGTACATCTTGCGCAGGCCGATCCAGTGGTCGGATCTGATCATCCCAGCGACGATGTGGCTGTTTTCTGGAGTCACGCTCACCAGATCTTTGAAGCAAACCTGACCAAACACGAAACATCAGTTTTATTTCTCTTTCAGCTGAGCCAAGCAAACATCTCTTCAACATCCAGGTTTTTATGCAAACAATACATRCAAATTTGTCATAACTTCAAAGCAATAAACACATCGAAATACCAAACCTGAAAGCACGAATCATTCTATTTTTAAATTTGCTCACATGCTGCCAAACAYGAACGTTAACCAAAAGCCTGTTTCACGAAACACACTTGAGATGCCTTCCTTCAAGTGATTTCTGTAWGAAGAAAGGCAGCATGGAAGATTGACGTCTACCCACTGCTGTTACGCCTCTGAGCTGCCAAGGGAGGCAGTCAGAGCCGAAACAGTCAMCGTACACAAGAGTAATGTGGCTCTAGGTTGCGATGTAGTGAAGACGAACCATCTGTGAAACCATCCCATAACAGGATTTAGATTAAAAAATGTTCGAGAGACATTTTAGACATGGTGTGAAAACACACGTCATGAAGCTCGTTCACAAAACACTCCAAGCAAGGCTTTCTTCAAACTGCAGGCACAAGTTACACAAACTCCATTTTTGTTAGGACAGTCTGAATGTGACAGATACAATTCTTCTAATCTGACCCAGGCCTTTTTCATATACAGTACAGTACTGAATCTGATCATCTCTGATGTTTTTCAGAGACTGCGGTCTAAACGGTCATGTTGTGTTTCATCCAACTGAGGTAGGAGTACACAGATCGATCCAGTCAACCACGGTAAAGTRTTTCAGTTCATGAAAGGTTAAACAACCCAATAAAGAAGGCTGGTTCTGTTCTGGGGACGACTGAAACCTCTGGAGATGATGGTGCAAAGAAGGATTTTTACATAAAATTAAGAACATTGTGGACAATCCTGACCATCCTCTTCATCTGACTGTCATAGAGAAACAGAGTCTTCATTCAGAGGCTTCTTCAATTTGGTTGTAATACAGACCACTACAGAAGATCTGTCCTGCCCACAGCCATCAGCAGCTACAGCAACTCTTTAGTTAAATGAGTTACAACATTTAATTTCCCTCTGGGATCAATAGTATTTTTGAAYTGAATTAAAATTTGAGGAATTTTCAACACACACATTGGGATTAAATGGATATGCCTCACAGTTCTGTCCTGCATGAACACAAATCTGAGGTACCTGGCAGTGACTTCTGGCTTCAGTCCAGGTGTAACTCATGTTCAAAGTGAAGTATTGTCTTTCTGCTGCAGCGTTCATCAACACCACACCTAAAAACAGAAGACGATTGTTCGTTTCAGCAAGTAATCCACAAGAAAACTATTTGCTTCAGTTGATTTCAACTTTAAAGTTTTTATATTATACTGTACATACATGTACATAGTGGTGGGCAGCACTTATCTAAAAATTAGTTCCACTAGCCCTAAAGCAATAACTGAAAAATTTATGTCCCCTACTTCTAAAGCACTAAAAACTCAGTCAACCCATGAACATTCTTAAACAGACGAGTCACATATTACCATGTTGCTCTCTTCAGACTTATCAGACATCCCACTGCTGTATTTGAGTTCATATATTGTTACCTAGTGAATAAGTGACACACACRTGAACAAAATGTGACAGCTTTCACCCTCAGCTGTTAATGTTGATCAATAACATTTATAGTCCTAAATTAGTGTTTCTAAATTTAGCAAGTGCTAATCCACTAATAAATTTTAAAATTAGAAAAAGCCCTTAAACACTAATTAGGAAATTAGTTACCCTATTAGTGCTTTAGGGGAACTGTGCCCACCACTGCATATACACACACACACACACACACACACGTTTGTTCTTCAGCCCTGTGGGGACTGTGCATTGACTTCCATACATTTTTTTAGACTTTATAGCGCAACCCTGTAGGGTTAGGGACAGGTCAAGTACCTGACCCTAAAACTAACCTAAACCTTGGTCCTAAACCTAACCCCCCACCCGTAATTTGCATTTGGACACGTGGGGAATGGGCATTGTTCCCCACATTGTAGGAAAAACCCATCCATATACATACATACATACATACACACATTTATATATATATATACATATACTGTATATATACATATATATATACACATACATATATACATGTATACACATACACATATACATATATACACATACACATATATACATATACTGTATATATATATATATATATACATATACTGTATATATATATATATATACATATACTGTATATATATTTATACACATACATATATATAAATATACACATACATATACAGTATATAAATCGCCATTGACCTAAATTTATATTAACATCCTCTTGCTCAAACTAAAATTAACCAAAATTTTAATAAATTCTGTAAAAAAATAAATAAAATAAGTTTTTCCTTGTTCAGTCAAATATTCGGGTAAAACAACAGACTTGAATTTTCTCCTTTCCTTAAAATTACAATAAAAAAAGTTATATGAATATTTTAACTAATTTTTTCAAGCGGTTACAAAAATAATAAAACTCACATAAACAGATGAAGACACAGAAYTTATCCTTGAACTTTTCCATCCCTGGTGTGCAGTTCTGGATAGCCTGAGATTATTTAAAATACCAAAATAGAGAAGCTTTATTAGAGACAAGAAAAACAAAAATTATGAAACCAATTTATCAAAACCATTTCTAACAGCTTAACATTACTCACCCTGGATGAAAGTGTTTTGTCTTACGGCAACAGAATGAAGTGATCCAACAAGCTAACCCTGAACCCAACCACCCCTAGATAAATAAAACGCCTCCTACAAACACAAGGCTCTATTCATTATAGGAGGATGCTGGATTTGCATCCATATTCCCAMCATGCAAATCCCTCACATTTGTCCAAGTTAACAGAACACAAGAAGCCTCTGAGAAATGAAAACTTTATTTTGTCTTGAAGCTCAAATGTAAAAATGGTACAAAATAAATCAAAACAAGAATACAGAAACAGAAACCTATAAAACACAGAATACAAACAAAAATGCCTTTGCWTATACTGTTAGCAGTGTCTACAAAATAAAGTGGTTTTTAAACCCAAGCAGTGATTGGTCGCCTCMAACCAAAGTGCTGTCGAAAACTGGACTATAAGAAGAAAACAAATGTAATAAACTTTAATCTGGAAAATTTAACATGAAACCTGAGTCATAACAAAAGTAAAAAAACGGGTACAACGACAGTATTACTGCGTACCAGTGTCAAATTATTCATGTCAGGATTCAAAGATGAATCTGTTTCTGAAACTACAGAACAATTTCTAATGAGGGGTGATCCAGCCAGCCCCTCTTCTACTTTATAAAGAGATAAACTAAATTATGATTTCTATCAGGCTACATAATGCAAAAAAGGTATAAAAATAAACTCAAGTGATGATCCTTAAAGAAAATCAATTACAGCAAATCTRTTTTGCTTTTAACACTCAAACGGATCGATTCTGAAAAAAAAAAGGATATCAGCTTCGTAAAAAAAACAATGGCAGTGAGTCGTTCAGACAAGGCAGGTTTTGTTTCACAGGCAACATTATTTTTCTAAATACAAAAACTAATATTGATAAAAAAAGAGGAAAACTTTAACGTCTGATCCCACCATGACGATCGAACACTTATTCACTGTCACTCTTTTCTTTCTTGGGGAACCTCTTCCCTTCCTTCTTTCTTTTCCTGGTGGGATAAAAGAAWACAAAAATTAACACATTCGAGTTGAATAACAGACTAATATCAGTTTAAATCACAGATACATTTTAAACGGGGAACAGTTTAATGGTTTGGACATCCAACTCCACACAAACCGGGTCGAACCAGGATTCAAACCTGCAACCTTCTTACAGGTAGGAAAGGTTGTTTTTTTATTTCCTCTTTGCACAATGGAGTGTCAGTGTTAAGTAATCTGATGTAAGGTTTTTAATAGTAGTTTTACAAAAGTTTGGAGCATTAAACAAAACTTTATAAGAACTAGCTCCTTAGMTTAGCACTAACAAGTGGAGCTAATCATGAGAAAGCTAATCTAAAGCAAAGAAGCAGTAAAAATACTTTTGTGGTAAAATCCTGAGATACATACTGACTGATGTTTGAGTTTTTTATAGTCAGTGTTTGAGGAAATTTCCAGTTTACTAAATTACCAGCCCCAAAGATAAATTCTGAGTTAGCATTTACTACCCAGCTAAACTATTTGAAATATTTTTGTTCTAAACAAGACATCTGAGGTTAGAATTAGAGCTAAWTTAAAATGTAGCAGAGTGGATAAAACAGTGTCAGTCTTTTCTCATCACTCTGTTGTAACAATCTACAGAAAATGACTATTTATATAGGATGTGTCAAATTTAACAGTTTTATACACAGGAGTAAATTCTGACCAGTTGTATCTAATTTCCCACCACAATAAATTTAAATAGTTTCTCAAAAAGAACTGMAATATCGTGTTGTGTGGGACACATCATCCTAATCTCTCCCTCGACCCTGGAGTCCACCTAGTGGCAGAATCAAATACAAGCTTTGCATTTTTTATGCTTTTTGAGCTGAAAACCTGAAGAGTCTCATGATACTGGTATAAATACACTGTTATTAACGCAGCTTCTTTTTTTATTCCTCACCCTTCTGCATCCTGCAGCTCGAACGCCGAGTTGATTTTCTTCAGCATTTCGTAGCGTTCACGTCCTCGAACCTGTGGGAAGAAATCAGCCTCGTTTGAACAGCCTGAGACCTGAACCCCTGCAGCAGCTGTGGAACTACAGGTGTGCTCACCTGGAGATTGAAGACCTCCTTGTCCTCCTCCTCCCCACTGGATGAAGACTTGTTCTTCTTTACAGCAGTGGTCGTGGAGGATGTGTCGGGCACTGGGGCACTTCCTGGGAAAAAAACAAAAACAAAAAAACAGATAAATCAAGTGAAAGTTRGCAGAGACTGGAACATATTTACAGGTAAAAACAAAAACATACTTCTCTTTTGTGTTTGCTTGGTGCCACTTTGCATCTTTTCAACACTTTCCTCATCAGACTTGCGGTCCCTGCCTGGACACGCACAGATGCGGACCTCAAAGCATCTCCGGCCCAAAACGAACCCCCTTAAGAGCAGAAAACACAAAACTTAAATAAAGCTGAACCTACAAGTTACACAAGTAACTTTCTTAAAGGTTAAATGGAGAAGATCACGWTGTAAYGGGATGTTTCTTTTAAAAAGACAGRATGGATGGACTGAGTACATGAGTGGGTTAAAAACCTCTTTAATTTTGTTCCCAACAGTTACTAATGTTATGGATGCACTTATTTTCCTTTATGATTTATTTTGTTTACCTCTGGGTTTACAATTTTTTTTTTTTGTAAAATAAAACCTTTACTATTTAAAGAAAGAAGATCTTGCTGCACGTTTAATGGAGGAGGCAGACTCACTCTGGGGTCTCCAGGGTCAGGATGGTGAGGATGGGTCGACGGTTCATGCCCCCCATGCAGGAGCTGTTGCACATAAAGCTCAGCAGTATCGACGTCATTTCTGCACCCAGCTGAAACAGGAAGTAAGAAAACACCACTGAAAAAACTGCTGATATGATGAGATTTTATTAGTTTGAACGCAACACCTGATCTACAAAAGACCAACATTTACGATTTTTAGATCAGATGTTTGGATTCTACAAAAAAATAATAATTCCTTTTAATATTAAAAAAGTCAATTTCTACTTTTTTCAGGTTCTACCTAAAATAAAATGAAACAACTCGAGAAACTGCACTTCCTGTGAAAACGCTCATGTAAATGCTTATTGCTGAAAACTTCAGCTGAAAGCTGCTGAAAATGTTTAATAGCAAAGCAGTTCAAGTTGAGAACATGAGAGAAGCATAAAAATGTTCAACAGAAAGAAGGTTAATAAGCCACCAAGTTGTGTATTTGGCTTGGAAAAGCTAAATTTAGCAACAAACCACTTAACAGTGCCTAAAGTTGCAAATGACACAGACAGAAGTTTAAATTATTAAGAAGCAGAAAGAGGTACAAAAAAGTTAAAATTAGCAGAAAAATAGCAGAAAGTAGCCAAGACATATCTGAAACAGTAGAAAAAAAGCTACATTTAGCAGAAAAACAAGCTAAAGTTTGCAGAAACAAGCTGAATGTAGCACACAGACAGTGACAATGGTGTAAAACATGTCAAATAAGCACCCCCCACCAGAGTACAAAAACATGACAAATTGTTGTAAAACAGCCCAAAAGTGAAGCATAGCAACTAAAATGTGACTAAAGTGCTGACATTAGCACAAAGAAACAGAAGGAGCACATATTTGCAAAAGAAGATAAAATGGCCACCAAAATGTGAAAGTAGTTTGAAATAGGGTTGGGCAATATTGGCAAAAAAATAATCATGATTAATTGTGGTATTTAGCCGATAAYGATTAATTTGACGATTAATCCCCTGGAGTCCCTGGACACCCTTATGTCCTGGTCACATGACCAATTTAGTGGGAAATATTTGCTCTTCATAAAAATCTGTTCCAAATTGTGTCAAAATCACAGACTTCAGGCTATACATCAAATTTTAAATTCTGTTGATAAATAAATTACAGAACTTTTTAAAATGTTTGTCATATTTGAAGCGGAGAGGAGCACCGAGCGGACTGACTGGAGAAATATCCCCTGGTGGCATTAATCCTATTAATCATCAAATGCCAAAAACTAATCGATTAATGTTCTTCTGAAAATTAATTGCACACGATACGATTATGCCCAACCCTAGTTTGAAAAATGTTTTTTAAGCTATTAACAGCWGAAGTTATCATAAAGCAACTGAAAGCAGCACAAAAACCTCAAATTAGCAAAAAGAATCTAAAAGAAGCACAGAAAAGTACAAACTAGCAGAAGAATAGTGGGAAGAGTAGAAATTGGGCTGAAACTGGAGAAAAAGGCTAAAATTAGCAAAAATAAAACTAAATACAGCAGAGAGAAGTTGAAAAGAGCAGAACCAGAACAAAATGTGTAAAAATATATATATATATATATATATATA